TCTCTATATATATATATATATCAACAACGGATGAGTGGATTGAGGCAGAGAATGGGGTGAAAAAAGGTTAAACAGCTCCAATGCGAAACAGTAGATTATAGGCATAAAAATAATTTTTGTGTTGTTTCACCATGCACATTTTGATACTTGTGTATGTGTTAGTTTATTATCTTTTATGCTCCATGAGATTTTAACACTCAGACCGAACAGCATTCGCGTCACTGACTTCTGTTCTAGGCCATATCTTTTAGCGTCTATATATAACCTACGACAAATCTCACACTGGAAGACGGGTTGCATCGACCGAAGCCAAAGCGGAAGCTAGCCTCCTCATACCTTTACACCATGTCATGGTCCAGCCAATTAAGCGCTTCTTCCAGGCTTGGCCAACATGTGCAAAGACAGCACGGAAATGTGGACATGATGGGTAGACACACAAAACGTGACCAAGCCATCATAGCGATTGCTTCGTTCAGAGGATGACTATCCGCACTCAGAAATTTCAGTTGAGAGTCGTTTGAACAAACCGGGAAACATATATCTGACCATCCATTTCACTGATGTGAGGTATCCGATAACGGATTACTCAGGCTATTACATAATTTGTATTTTCAAAATGGCCAAAACGCGGCACGAAATGCCATGACCGATTTCAATCAAAACAATGCAGTCAATTCTGATCCGGAGATCCTGTTCGAGGACACTGTAGTGACTAGTTGCCTGATCCATTAGATCAATCTCTTGATTGTCGGAGTACTTGAAGCATGAAAGGCAGTTTAAAAATTATTGTCCGAACTAGTCAGTCACCGTGGCCTCTTAGTTTGTGATCACAAACGCAGCAAATCCCATTATGAATGTCTTTTACAACACAGTTTCCGATTGGATCGATTCAACTAACATGGAGTGATCGATAGCCACATAAGCGATACTCTCCCCTCCCCCCACAATAAATGCAAAACGTATTTGGCAACAGGAAGCTTCATCAAAATTTCTTATCATTTAAATCATATAAAATTTGTCAATTCAGAGCTAAGCGAATGGGCAGATGCGGGGATTAAAATGTATGTTATTGGACAACAACAAATCACTGTTAAATGAGCAAATTTATGATATTTGTTACGTTATTGAGTTTGTTGGTGGATCGTTTACGACACCGGCGAAACGATCCGTGGAGAATGCAACCCTTCTTTTAGTTGTTCGATTGGTTGTACTTCATCAAACACCCTCTCATTCACTTGAAATCATAAACTAGAGGAGAAGAACTAAAAGACAATTTAAAACAAAATGAGTCCCGTTTCGTTCCGTATTCACTCACTGTATGAGGAGAAAATCTTGCGTTTAACACGGGAGAATCCATATCTATTACCGTCGGAGTTGAATCTTGAATCAGACAGCACATACACATCAAACTCGTTTTGCAACTCTAACTGTCAGAACTCTGTCTGGATTTCATACAAAGTAGGCGCACTTTTGCTATTCCCTTCAATAAAATTACAAATTCTTGTACTTTCCAAATGGGAAACCACATGAAGCCTTAACAAACCTCTGAGGGTAATCTATAGAAAAAAAAAGAAATCTAAAGACACACGCACATAATGATGTGTAATTGAAAATCACTTCGGGTCCGAAAATTTTGGTTTTCAATTTGAAAAAAAAGAACTCGTATTTCGTAGCGCAATTCTAAATCGTGATGCAAGTATATTACATTCGTACAATTTAATTGTTGGCAAACAGTTGGTTACAGACCACAAACTGCTGGCTCGTATGTGGCACTTCCTGTTTCTCTTCTTTTTTAAACACTTCTTCCCCACTGATTATTCTAATGGGACTAGGTAGCAGCTTGTCTATAGACTGTCGGCATCGAGATACGGTTCTTGAGGTAATGAGCACAGACCGACAAAGTTGTAATGTATTGTACTGTTTACTGCACTGTTTATTTGCCTCTTTCCACTCACAGGCTTTGGAAGTGGAGACTCAGGAGCATAGAAAATCCATCACCAGCCACAATAGCGTTGAATCCCTACTCCCCGAGGTCACTCAACGCACAGACATAACAAAGGAAGACTTGCATCGTTCCTCGTTACGTCGTGAGCCGCCGGCCGTACCGGAGAGACTTATTGCCGATGATACCGTGCACAAACCGCAGACCGAGGATCAGATTGTATCCGATAAACTCCCGCCCAGATTGAGTGGATTAGGGGTGACCAAACCGGGCGCATTTCGTGTGGCCTGGTCAGAAATGCCCGAAGTAAGTTGATCCTCATGTGATCTGTCTTTCAAAAGATTCCTAGATCTGAACAGGCGTTTTGAATGATTTGTTGACCTTTTCTTACTCTACAGTTTCTAATTCAAATTAGACCACCTCTCTAGCTAATAAATACTTTGTTCCAATCTATAATTTTCTCGATAAATCACTTATTTTCGGATAAGTTTATCCGGAAGATTGCCATTCAGTTAGGTCTTCCATACACCTTCACTCCAACAACCATTAACAGTAGGAAAATAAAACAATCATTTTTTTACAATAAAAAATAAACTTGTGTTTGTGATACTATAGTGATTTGTTGGAATAGCACAAGGCTGAATAATTATAGACACATTGCGCAAAGTCCGGTTTGGGGAAATTATCTTTCTGGTACCGAGTACGTGACAGCTCCAACCCCTAGGATTTGGATTTCGGACAGATTGTAACCAGGTAACCGGAGGACGGTGTGGGTGGCTTATTCACATTGTTCTTTACGATTTCAATCAAGGAAGAAGAACAACGTTGTACCACGTGCAATTTTATTCTAACGGTTATCACGTCAAATCGAATAACACAATACTTGATTGAAACCGACAATCCTTCAGACTTCACCATGACGCACATTCCTCAGCTCTTATAGTCAACCGTTCAATTTTGAAAGTACTAGGCTCGAGTTTCGCTCTTATTAGAGCTCATCAGTAGTGCATGTCAATCGTCCCATCCGGTCTTTGAATCCCGAGCCGATCGCACGGAAGGTGTATGTTACCACTGTGACACTCAGCCCATACATACCATGGCCAAAATGAACTGACTCACTATCACCGAAGACAACATCCTAACAAACGTGAATTGGGCAATTTTCGTTCAGCAAAGAAAACAGGCACGGTGGAAAACATTCATAACGAATTTGAATATCTACCTAGTGCGTTCACGTAGAATAGCTATCCAGACTGATCTGTTGATGGGGTAAAAAGAAACGGCCAAAGGAAATCGAAGTAGTTGTATATATGTAGTTTGTATATATGTACGTACCATTCAAGGAAGATAAATAGGTAGAAATCGTTAAAAGAAAGCCCTCAGGTGCATTCCACACTGCGCAGGTAAATTTACATGGATTAATGTATCCCAGCCACGACCGTGGAACTAAGAGCATCGGCATTTCCAGTTTCCCCGTGTGTTTATTCAGGCGCTTCAACTTCTCCTTGGCCCGCCTCTTTCGGCCTCATGAAGTGTTCAACCACAAATGACACCCATTCCACAGGTGCGCACGCATGAGAAGCCAGATCTGCACCATTAAGATCGTTATTTCTCATACTCTCCGTCCATGTTATTGGTTTTATTTAATACCATGCTTAAGAACCACTGAAAACGAGCTTGTTCTCGATACTGCTTCGTGCGTTTTTAGCAACGGTTGGCAGCATTAGGTGCCTGCACCATTTGATTAATTCTTGTTCTGTGTACCTCCTAATGTGAAAGCAATTTTGGGGCCGGACGAGTTTTCACTTCAATGATTTTCATTGGTTAAACGGAATTGTCAATTCATGTTTGTTGAGATGTTGTCCTCAGAGAAGAGGTGAGGAATGTCCGTGAAGGTAAAGTCTGAGGGACAATCAGTCGATCGGTCAATCAGTCAGTCCCACAGCACTACTCACAATAAACTGAGTCAAATGTAAAGACACTTATGATAAACGTCCCCCTCCCCCACAAGCAAACTGTTATCAAAGATTCTGGTGTTCACGCGCTGAATTTCCGCAAATGTGGTAACTGTTCTAAAACAAGCAGAATTCAGTCATCATCTCAGCCAACTATTTCGTATTTCGCAGATCGCTGGATTACATCCCTTGTGTTTTCAGTGAATCAAATCTGGTAGAGAACAACTCGCACATCCACATACACACACACACGCACGCAACACGTGTTCTTGCGTTACGCTCTTTGTCTTTGCAAATGTTGCACCAACTCTAGATCGTTTACGATGTTTACCATGGATTTCACACAAACCCATCGCGTCATCAGGTGCACGTTGTACCTTGCACTCGACACATGTTTCGGGCTTTCTCTCTCTCACTGCTTGTCTCTCTCACTATACTCCTTCTTGAGGTCACAAAATATACCCAGACAGAAGTAACTGTTCATCAAAACTGGTGATTAGAAAAAAACCGTGTATACGAATTGATTGTGAGCGTACAGAACCACGAGCAAACGAGAACTGCGTAAAAATTTTCCGGATTTCCGGATTCCTACACACAAAAACAAGTACCGCCTTCCCGAAGTATTCTCTACCTTCAACGTTTATGCACACACACTTCCATGTGCTCAAACCATTTGCTGAAACAGCTCAACTATCCCGAAGCGGGTAACCCCGTCGACCAGATCAATGAAGGCCTCCTTTGCAGCGGTTGGTGACTTGTTTCGGATTCCACGCATCATGTGCTTTACATTTGGGAATAAAATATTGTCACACGGAGCCAGGACCGGACTGTAGGATAGGTGACCAACCTCCGGGATGCGTTCTATAACCAGGAAATCGCGGACGACAGGGTGCAGCAAGGTCCCTCGTGTTCGAGTCCCTGGACGATGCCTTGCAATACGTTCCAGCACTTCCAAAAAAACAGTGGGTGACGTATCAGTCTCTGGTGACTGTGCTTTGCTGTACGAGCGGCACAGTAGCCACATGACCGGTTTTAACCGTGAGCACAGCCACAATCTGCATTGCCACACTACGCTTGCATTGGAATTTCTGAGTTGGCGCCTCACACCCAGAGCCGGTTGTTTCTTGGTCTCTGGGAGAAAAATGTACATCCAGCACTGATGACCTCCCGAAATGCATTCGAACGTCCACCATAAAACCAAAGAAGTATGGTGCGGCACCAATTCACCCGAACTGCGACCTGTTCCTGATGGAGCTGATGGTATACCCGGCGCGCACAAACCTCTCTGGGGATACGATTATCATGCAGGATGATGCAGAACTATCCCAATGAGATCCCGACGTTTTTCGCCAGTCGTGCCATTATCATCTGCACATCCTCCTTCATCATCGCTTGCACAGCAGCAATCTTATTCACTGTGGTGGTCTCCACAGGTTGACTACACCGTGTCTCATCATCCATGGACCGCTATCCATGCCTGAATTCTCCAAACCACTTCAAACACAGTGCTTTTTAAAGCATATCATCACCAAAGGTAGTTCACAAACGACCAAAACTCACACAACGAATGACCACGACAATATTTTTCTTGGGCAAGTCAACAACATACGCATACACCGTTGGATTCATAGAACACGTGATAGGAGATTCTGGTTGGATGTTTGTCATTGGTCCAGCGCACCACATGTGGTCACACAAGTGGTCTTTGTGGTGTTGTGTTTTTCGACGCATGTGGGGAAGTGTGTCACTTGGTATAATCAATCGTGAAGGATGTTCATTTCCACCGGTTTGGAATCCTTCGTAAACTGAATTCAATCCACTCTCCGTTTTCGAAGGATGCCATCGAAAACTGGAATAAAGGCACGAAAAAAGACAGCCTTGGGGAACTGTGGGTGTATTCACCGATTCTTCAGCAGTCAGCTGAATGCTAAATGGGATTTTTCTTGCCAGTTCTGAGCAGTATTTTTATTAGGCGTAAAACTTCCGGTTGAATTAATTAAATATCTGCGCATCACAAAACGTGTTCACTTAGCAGCACCGGATAGTGAGCAAGACCTGATCCAATCGGTTCTATGTGCAGTTACGCATGCATAAACCGGAACATTGATCGCAATCTGTCAGGTTCCCGATTTATGGTCTTACCTCGTCTAGTCGGTCGCGCAGTTCTCACGGCTTTTTATTTTACTTCGCGCGGAGTCTGACCGTTTGTAAAGATGTCATTTGTTAAACCGTAGAGTGTAACAGTAGTAGTTCTATAATAGCCGACTGGAAGTCCTCTCTTATCTCGTGCATTGCAACATCTGGCTGAAAGTATCGCTTTGCAGGTTATGATGAAAACAAACTAACTAACTAATAAATACCCTTGTGCTTATCATCTCGTCCGGTGGATTAGACCAAAATCAACTCAACTCAAGTTTAGTCTTATCTGCCTTAAAGTTTTCACTGCGTACCAAGGTTTTGTTGTTCAGCGTTATGGCAGTCAGTGTCGGTTTCTGTAAGGCTGCCACCAACGGGGAAGCGAACTGAGCATAAACCATGTGAAAATGGATCGAGAATAGACGCGTGCGCAACATGTGGATCAATGTTCAATGTTGAATGTTCAATGTTCTTCAATTAGAGGCAGAGGGTAATTTCCCGTATG